ACGCTATCGGTATTCATTGAGATTCCGTTCCGAGTTTTCCCACATTTTCAGAAAATCTTGTGTTCTCGATAGACGCTACAGCTTTCGACAATTGTTTTTCGAGAGTGTCGCGCTTTGACCTCTAGCTGCCCGGCCACCTCTGGCTTGCGGTTGTGGTTTCGATCACACGCGTGAGCGAATGTGGCTTGGAGATAGGAGGCGCCTTCTCAACCTCGTGGGTTTACTCCGGGTACTCCGGTTTCCTCCCATAGGAAAAACCCCTGCACGTGCGCTAAGATAATGAAAGAGAGAGAGAGAGAGAGAGAGAGAGAGATGGGGTTTAACGTCCACTCGACACAAACTAGGTCATTTCGGGACTAACATATGGTTTAATTTTATTTCAATAATTCGCTTGCGCGTAGGGGTCTTTAGCAGTGGGAGGAAACCGGAGAACCCGGAGAAAACCCACAGGCGAGGTTGGACAGGCGACCCTAATCCTTGTCACGTACAACCGGGGATTCGAAAACCACGCCAGTTGAATCAATGACAGGCCTTATGATACAGCGCGGACGTGCTAACCATTCGCCCCCCCCCCCCGCTAAGGTGATGAAAATATCTTTAGATATCATTGAGAGCCTTCCTAGGGGAAAGTCGATTATACCAACAGCTAGGCTGAGAGGCTGGGAAACAAACATCGTTCGGATTAGAGCACCCTGTTAAGTCGTAGGAGAACCATATGATGTTAGGGGGTACGTCAGTAAATTTGTCCTACGAAATGGTGGGGTAAAGAGAATGATATTAATCGTAATATAGTAAACACAAGCTGGGGAAAGAGAATGTATATGCAGCTTATATTTAATGGCATAGATGTGTGTCTAGTTTCCTGTATTATGGATGTTGTAAAGATATAAAAACATAGTTAACGTAAAAAGTCGAAGAACCTCCTAGAAGATAGTATCACGGGCCGTTGTCTGGAAGTTCCTCATTACACATCTGTCAGGCCGTAGTGTCACAGTACTTTGTAAATATACATCTCTGTACAATTATTTGACCAATCTGATAAACACACAAATCCTATTTCGTTTCGTTTTTTTATAGTTCAAAATTTCATTTAACTTGTCTTTACTACTCTAGGATCTGGAAGAATTATTAAATAACCTGTGTTCTGGATGATGTGAGGGATTAGCCAATGAAACGGTCACCGACCTGCTGAGAAATTTCGAATAAATAATGATCAAATGAGACAACAAAAATTCAACAGAGATCCTAGTTACGTAACTTCCTGGAAGCGGTTCGTTTTCTTTTGGAGTTGTTGTTTTAGTTGGTCAGCTCGGGCAAAGAATTGAATGCGTTAGAACAGGAGACAAAAACGAGAAAGTGTAACATTTATTTTCCACGCTGGTATTAAACTAGTTTAGACACTGGTGTAAACACTTGTGTTACATCTTGCGGCTCGGGTTAAGGCACTAAACAGAACACCAGTTATACACCACTACAACACAACCTTAACACAAGCGTAACCCGGGACTTGAATTGACCCACTGATCTAACTGGTGTTAAACTCTACACAACCTTGGATTTGGATATAAGAGTAGGTCGTAGTGCCACTGTCCGGGCAAAATGTCCCTTATGGCACACTGTATGGCGTGTGCCCACCTTCATTAACCCAGTTCGGAGCAGAACAGTAGGACGTTAAATCCCATTTTATTTCATTTCTACACAACCTTAAAGATACGTTAGTTAAGGACTTGAACTGACCCAGTGTCCACGCCGTAATAATAAGTTCGTTTGTTCGTTCCTGGAAGGGTGATATCGTAGACAGGGCTAGTAAGTTTTTGTTGTTCTTAGTGTTTAACATCCGCATCCACCGAAGGTACAAGTCTTATTTTTCATTTTTATTATCTTAATAATACCCGGAGTAAACCCACGAAGTTGAGAAGGTGCCCCTGTCTCCTAGCTACATACGCTCACACTTGGGATCGAAACGACAACCGCAAGCCAGAGGTGACGAGCCAGCTAGAGGTCGAAGCACGGCACTTTTTGTTTCGTGTAAATATGTTTATTCAGATATTAAAATATATACATGAATAAACAAAAATATACTTAAACATACGTCATTATGCAAGAGCTAAATCTGTCTATTGCAAGTCTTTCTTTAGGCCTGAAATGTTATATAAATTATTAATTAGACATTAATTAACCTATCCAGACCATAATCAACTCTAGATGGCATCGCTAGCCTGCGATCTTTAGTGGATTATGAGCCGATTAACTGCATAACTGTCCTTCACGATTCAAATGGATAATCGAGACTATACTGTTTATCGTACTGACTTTAGTAATGATGATCGAGGCTAGGCGGAAATTTCAATCGCTTAGTTCTCGGTTCATAGTGGATCAATTTGAGAGAGAATTGCCTTTACATTATCTAGTTTTTAACTATTATAGTGAGAACTGCCAGCTCTTTATCTAATCTCCCATAATGTATCTTTAACATATTTAGACTTTTACATATGAAAGAGTTAATAGGTAAGGTTTAAAAACATATTTCTGTGGGTTTTACAGCTATACATAGTATGAATATTTAAAGTGTTTACATTAAAAGTAATTACAAAGTAAAAGTCCAGGGTATATACAAACTCTTTCAAAAATCTAATTTAATATTTCCATTATCTTCATATATACTCTTAAAAAAAATAGGGGATGTTGAAATGCAAATACCTATCTGCAGGTTGTGATATGAAAAATAGTCATGGACACTTGACATGCTTTGAGAGTATGTTCACAGATGAAGAACTTATCGCCCCAATAGAACCACTGAGCTGCACCTGCGACTCGCAATAGCGCCAGAGGGTTGATGAAAACTGCCGCTTGCTGGTTTATCCTATCCATGTTTGCTGTCCTATCGGTTCTTGTGTAAGATTTACTGTTTAGAGTATCTTTGCTTTAGTGTGTTAGGTTTAATTTGATCGGGAGACGTGTTCGTCGACGTCAACGTCAACCGACAACACTACAAGAATTGGCCGTGGCACTGCAGGAGGAATGGGTCATATTGCTCCAAATCGTGATTGGACGGTTGATTAGGAGCATGCCATGACGAATTGCTGAATATCTGAGGATTGGTGGAGCAATTGCGCATTATTAAGACAAAAGTCAAAAACGTCCATTTTCACTTTTGACAGTGTATCTCTTTGCGAGTGAAAGTCGCCCATATGAACTGTTTATGTTTATGTGTAGGCAGATTGGCCTGTTTTAACATACACTAGTAACCTCTAATAAAAACAGCAGTGCAATTCCACAGTTTTGTATTGTTTCTGAATATCACCTACTTTTTTTGAAGAGTATATTATAAGGAATGACGGCTTAATGAACTTATCAATAAAATTTGACATATTATTCTTAAAGAAATTACTAGTATTGTATAAATTCTCTTTAAATATATTTTTAAACAAGTTAATAATATTTAATCTACAATTTTCTTTATCTAAAGTAAACATGCGACGCTTATAAATAGCTTGTTTGCGCAAGATAAAGCACCATTGCACTAGGTCAAGTTGAGATTGTCTTATATAATGTAGACTACTTAAGACCTATTCACACTAGGAATTTGTCAAACACCAACTGTAATACTTTTAGTAGAATTTTTGCTCGAGAAATAACATATTCGCATAATATGTGATATGTACTTAAAATACTTAAATCAACTTAGTCTGTAATTGACAGTTGACACATAAAAAAGAGTTATTTATCGAAAACATATGTCACTCATTTACCACCAGAATTACACGTGAGTGGAATTATTTTAATTGCATCATTTGATTTAAAGTAACCAATCATTTTGTTAATTACACAAGTTCAGGGCCATGATCACGCTTTATGGTGCATGATATTTATATACCTTTAAAAGAAACCGTGGAACCCTGTAAGTCAGACTTGCATTAGATTCCAGAGATCGAGGGTACATCTGAGTTCCTAGACAGCCGAGAGGCTGGATAGGGTGGAGAAGTGGTTTTAGCTATATAGTATTGTAATTTGTGCTATGCTTGTATACCTGTATTCGGGGATCACGTGGCTAAGTGGGTAAGACGCTAGCTCACTAGCCTGGAGGTCGGGTGTTCGATCCCTGCATTGGCCGAGAAAGTTCATCCAGATTTTCCGGCGTGGTTCTCCCTTGTCAGTGATGCAGGACGGAGGGGCTGACAAGGAAAGCTGTCTAGTCGTTCGGATGGGACGAAAAACCGAGGTCCCGTGTACACATTGGCGTGCACGTAAAAGATCCCTTGGCAGTTGGAATTCGATATAAGAGTAGGCCGTAGTGCCGCTGTCCGGGCAAAATTTCCCTCATAGCACACTGTATGGCGTATGCCCGTCTTCATTAACCCAGGTTAGGAGCAGAACAGTAAGACGTTAAACTCCATTTCATTTCATTTCATTTCATTTGTATACCTGTATTCAGTTATATGCTATATAAAATGTAGAAGCGAACTATGCATTATTATTCCTGGTAAGACAAACGTCTTAAGAAACTGGAAGAAGTAAATACACAACGTGAAGCAGAAGTAAAGACAGCTAGAAACAAATTCTAGACGATCACAAGGCTACAGAAATATGTAGTAAGAAAAGATGCATGGGTCGTATGTAGGATGTGGCAACCGGTTTGACAATGTACGCTCTCCACGTCAGACAAAAGACCCATGGTGCTACACAACCAGCAAGACTTATCTCCATTTTGAACTACAACGATGTTTCGAGTCAAACACGTCAAAGCACCGTGTTGAGATTTCTATTCGATGAGTTCTCGTCACCCATTGTTCATCTACTAACTACTATTGTATTTCACAATTGTAAATTCCAAGGACAAGGAAATTTATACCAGGTGGTGTGGGGTGCCCTTAGTACGTTTTGTAAGTGATATGTTGCGCGGTTGGTGGCCCAAACATTTACTAAGTACATGTATAGTCATTCGTATGCGTGTCATTTATATAACTAAATAGATAACATAATTGCATAGGCATTGATGTGGACCATTCTCATTGGTGTGGACTGTCCTTACTATCAAACTGAAAGTATAGCGGTGGGTGGCGATTTTATTTAAGATGGCTGTTTTTAGAATCAGAGATGCTGTAATTGATGATTGTGAAGATTTATTCAGAATGTGCAAGGTACGTGTAATACAGATAGTTATTATAAAATTTCAATTTCATCAGGCAATTTGTCGTCAAAGTTTTATTAGTTATTTTTTGTTTTGAGAGAGAGAGAGAGAGAGAGAGAGAGAGAGAGAGAGAGATGTGGTTCAACGTCCACTCGACACAAGCTAGGCCGTTTCGGAATTAATATATGGTTCAGTTTTATTTTAATAATTCGCTTGCGTGTAGGGGTCTTCTTTAGCAGTGGGAGGAAACTAGAGGACCCCGAGAAAATACACGAGGTTGGACAGGCGACCCTACTCCTTGTCACATACAAGCGGGGAATCGAAACCACGCCAGTTGACTCAATGACAGACCTTATGACACAGCGGGCATGCGCTAACCATTCGGACACCCAACCTCCCTTGAAGGAGCAATGATATGTATGAATTTCATATAACATAATTTATAATAACCTTAGGTGTTAGAAATAAAAGTGTTGGCCTGTTGAGGTGAAAGCAAAACTGCTTGAAAACAACTAACAAAGTCGCTTAACGTTATTAATAAGGGCCCGACGGTACAGCGCAGTGGAACTAAAATGAAATGGGGTTTAATGTCCTACTGTTCTGCTCCTACTAGGCTAATGAAGACGGGCAAAATTTCCCTCATAGCACACTGTATGGCGTGGGCCCGTCTTCATTAGCCCAGTCGGAGCTGAATTCCCAAAAGCTAAGAGTTTCCAGCCGTCTGATTTTTTCACCAGTATTGATACCCCGCTGATTGCTAAAGATATTAGAGATTTTTACAGGCCTGTATGTATATGTTTTACTATCATTAAGTAAGTCTATGGTTACTTTCCCATTTTGTTTTCAAGCTGGAATTATTAACCCCTTCATTTGTTTTGTGATATTATCATGGCCTTATAAAACATTGTTATTTTGTCTCACAGGATCAGGCGATTCTTCATGGCTTTGGAAATGAGATGATATCATCTGTAGACAGTAAGTAATATATATATATATATATCCAGAAATATTAGCACAACCGTAAAGCTGCACTACTTTGTTTCACGGTAAACGATGAAAAGATAAAAGGTATGCCGACAAAAACTGATTTCAACACTGGTTTAATAACATTTTAACATTTTAAAATAACATCCCATCTTCTTGTGAGGGGTTAAATGTTGTGACTAAAGCAACATTTAGATTTCCGCATGCTGTATGTATTTTTGGTAGTCTGTGTTACTATGACGCTATGACGTCACACTCATTGTTGTATTAACTAAAATTTATGTTGTTTACCTGAAGAGCTTAATAAAATAATCGAAATTGCTAGTAATCAACATATTATGTAGTTCTTTTTTCAAAAGCTTTTATATCTTTGTGTATTTAATAGCTAAGATTAGTTATTTTTAACTTTTCATATATAAAAGTAGGGGATATTGAAATGCAAATACCTATGCAGGTTGTGATATGATAAATAGTCATGGACACTTGACATGCTTTGAGAGTATATTCACAGATGAAGAATTTATCGCCCCAACAGAACCACTGAGCTGCATGTGCGACACACAATCGCGCCATACCCGTGGGAGGGGTTCATTATCAAATTTGACACTTCAAGGAAACTGCCACTTGCTGGTTTATCCTATCGATGTTTGCTCCCCTATCGGTTCTTGCATAAGATTTACTGTTTAGAGTTCCTTTGCTTTAGTATGTTACGTTTAATTTGATCGGGAGACGTGTTCGTCGACATCAACGTCAACCGACAACACTGCAAGAATTGGCCGTGACACTGCAAGAGGAGTGGGTCAGATTGCCCCAAATCGTGATTGGTCGGTTGATTTGGAGCATGCCACGACGAATTGCTGAATGTCTGAGGATTGGTGGAGCAATTACGCATTATTAAGACAAAAATCAAAAACGTCCATTTTCACCTTTGACAGTGTATCTCTTTGCGAGTGAAATGGGGCCGTCAGATAAGCTGCGCATATGAACTGTTTATGTTAATGTGTAAGCAATTGGTCTGTTATTAACATACACTGGTTACCTCTAATAAAAACAGCAGTGGATTTCCGCAGTTTTGTATTGTTTCTGAATATCCCCTACTTTTTTTTGAAGAGTATACTTAGAGAGGGAAAAAAAATGGGTTCAACGTACACTCGACACAAACCAGGTCATTTCGGGAACAACCGGGAAATCTAAAGTACGCCAGTTGACTCAGTGACAGACCTTATGATACAGCGCGCACGTGCTAACCATTCGGCCATCCACTCCCCACCCACCCCCTGTAATCATAGGAGTACTTGTACATCATCAGTAGAAATATATACCTTCATCAGTAAACAATAAGTAACATATATAACACCATCAGTAAGTAACAGATATAACAGCATCAGTAAGTAACAGATATACCTTCATCAGTAAACAATAAGTAACATATATAACACCATCAGTAAGTAACAGATATAACATCATCAGTAGACAATCAGTAGCAGATATAACACCATCAGTAGGTAGTAAGTAACATATATCACATCATCAGTAGACAGTAAGTAACATATATCACATCATCAGTAGACAGTAAGTAACAGATATAACATCATCAGTAGGTAGTAAGTAGCAGATATAACATCATCAGTAGACAGTAAGTAACATATATCACATCGTCAGTAGACGGTAAGAAACAGATATAACAGCATCAGTAGACAATAAGTAGCTGATATAACAGCATCAGTAGATAGTAAGTAACATATATAACATCATCAGTAAGTAACAGATATAACATCATCAGTAAGTGACATTTATAACATCATCAGTAGATAGTATGTAACATATATAACAGCATCAGTAAGTAGCAGATATAACATCATCAGTAGACAGTAAGTAACAAATATAACATCCTCAGTAAGTAGTAGATATAACATCCTCAGTAAACAGTAGATATAACATCCTCAGTAGACAGTAAGTAACAGATATAACATCATCAGTACACTGTAAGTAGCATATATAACATCATCTTATCTCAAAAGACAATGCCGATATTGCATATGTGATAGAACAATCGTAACACGAGATCAGTAACAATGATTTGAAAAATCGAGAAGTAACGTTAAAAGGAAAACAGTTACCGATACTCAATGAGGTCGAGAGAGATAACAGGAACACGGTCGATTTTCAAGTCACGGCCGATTCCATTAAAGGGGATGGCAGTGAGTGGGGATAACCGCTATCCATAACAATAATTGAAAGAGTGACAATGATTTATAACATGGGGGTCACGGTGGCTAAGTGGGTAAGACGCTGGCTCGCTAGCCTGGAGGTCGGGTGTTCGATCCCTGCATCGTCCGAGAAAGTTCATCAAGATGCAGGGCGGGGGCCTGACAAGGGCAGCTGTCTAGTCACTCGGATGGGACGAAAACTTAGGTCCTGTGTACACATTGGCTTGCACATAAAAGATCCTTGACATTTGGAATTCGATATAAGAGTAGGCCATAGTGCCGCTATCCTGGCAACATTTCCCTCATAGCACACTGTATGGCGTATGCCCGTCTTCATTAGCCCAGTTCGGAGCAGAATAGTAGGATGTTAAACCCCATTTCCTTTGATTTTTTTTATTTATAACATTAATAAAACCGGTGAAAAATAGAAACTCCACGTATTATCTAGGAGCACCCTTTAAATAAAGTCATACTATAATTATTATCATTATCAAATTATATTATGTTTTACAGCTTTCAGAAAAGATGGTTTTGGTGAAAAGCCTTTATTTAGATGTCATGTAGCTGAAAAAATTGAATCAGGTTGGTAGCAAAGCAAGATGTTTCGTACTCTCATCTTTGTCCTTATTCGTGCCATTTGTAGCATAGTAAGTATAGTGGGTCCGATAAGTTGAAGACAATCCCTCTCACTACTGTGTTAAACATACAGAGATGGAGAGAGAGAGAGAGAGAGAGAGAGAGAGGGAGAGAGAGAGCGAGACAGAGAGAGAAAGAGTGTGTGTGTGTGTATGGGGGAGGGAGTAACGTCCACTCGACACAAATACATAGTTCAATTTTTATTTCAACAATTCGCTTGCGCTACGCGTAGGGGTCTTTAACAATGGGAGGCAACCGGTGGGCCCGGAGCAAACTCACGAGGTTGGACAGACGACGCCACTCCTTGTCACGCACAAGCGGGGAATCAAAACCACGCCACTTGACTCATGCAACAGGTACGCGTTAACCATTCGGCCACCCAATCCCACATATCTTTCGTCGTACTTGTTGGCCTGGAGGTGGCGTGTTCGTTCCTTGCATTGATCGAGAAATTTCATCCGTATTTTCCTACGTGGTTTCCCCTTGTTAGTGGTGCAGGACGGAGGGTCTGACAAGGACAGCTGTCTAGTCGTTGGGATGGGACGAAAAACCGAGGCCCCGTGTATACATTGGCGTGCACGTACAAGATTCCTTGACAGTTAGAATTAGATATAAGAGTAGGCCGTAGTGCCGCTGTCCGGGCAAAATTATCCTCATAGTACACTGTATGGCGTATGCCCGTCTTTATTAGCCCAGTTCGGAGTAGAACAGTAGAACGTTAAAGCCCATTTCATTTCGTCTGACACCATAGCGTCAAAAGCCGCCCGTATGATCCCTGGCGCGACCTCTCACTACAATTGGTCAGATCTTCATGTAGTAGAGGCCATCGAAAGTATAAAAACGAAACGAAATATAGATCTATATTTTGATCAGATGATAGAACATATTTTTTTTTAGGCCCAGTTACTAAATGCCACTTAAACATACATTATGGGAGATTCGATAACGAGTTGGCAGTTCTCATTATAATAGTTAAAAACTAGATAATGTAAAGGCAAAAGGCAATTTGCTGAAAATTTCATTCAAATTGATCCACTATGAACCGAGAACTAAGCGATATAAATTTCCCCTAGCCTCGATCATCATTACTAAAGTCAGTACGATAAATAGCATAGTCTCGATTATCCATTTCATCGTTAAATCGTGAAGGAAAGTTATGCAGTAAATCGGCTCATAATCCACAAAAGATCGCAGGCTAGCGATGCAATCTAGAGTTGATTATGGTCTGGATAGGTTAATTAATGTCTAACTAATAATTTAGAAAACATTTCAGGCCTAAAGAAAGACCTGCAATAGACAGATGTAGCTCTTGCATAATGTATGTTTAAAGAATAGAATATGTTCAACCCATGTTCAATCCGTTCTATGTTTTCATGTATTTCAGGTGACATAATAGCATACACTTTGTTCATTCCGGCCTATCTGTCGTGGATGGGAAAATACATGTCCATGGTAGAGCTACATGTTACAGAAACTGAACGGGGTAAAGGCGTTGGTCGGGCTCTTGTGCGCCGATTGGAACAGGTAAAATTTACTACGATATATATTTATTTACTTTGAGAAGTCATCCGATATCTCACAATGATTCCTAAACATACCAGAATCAAACTTTAATAGAGAAATGAAATGAAATGGAGTTTAACGTGCTACTGTTCTGCTCAGAACTGGGCTAATGAAGACGGGCATACGCCATACAGTGTGCTATGTGGGAAATTTTGCCCGGACAGCGGCACTACGGCCTACTTTATATCGAATTCCATCTGTTAAAGGATCTTTTACATGCACGCCAATGTGGAAACGGGACCATAAGAAATGATTCCTAAACATACCAGAATCAAATTTTAATAGAGAGTTAAAGAAACCATCCGGATTTTCACAATTATTTATAATTTAGTAGCAGGAAACCCGGCTTTGTTCGGGGGTCATAACTCCGAAACCGGAAGTGGTAGACTAACGCCACCTGTTCTATGTTACTCCCCGGTCCGAGCTACCCCTATACCCCAAATTTCAGACTCGGGGCAGACCTAGTGTAGCCGTCAACCCCGAACAGACAGACAGACAGACAGACAAACGACAGTCACAAATATTAGTATAACTAGCAGGATACCCGGCTTCGCTCGGGGGTCATAACTCCGAAAGTGGTAGACTAACGCCACCTGGTCTATGTTACTCCCCGGTCCGAGCTACCCCTATACCCCAAATTTCAGACTCGGGGCAGACCTAGTGTAGCCGCCAACCCCGAACAGACCGGCTTCGCTCGGGGGTCATAACTCCGAAACCGGAAGTGGTAGACTAACGCCACCTGGCCTATGTTACTCCCCGGTCCGAGCTACCCCTATACCCCAAATTTCAGACTCGGGGCAGACCTAGTGTAGCCGCCAACCCCGAACAGACAGACTTCGCTCGGGGGTCATAACTCCGAAACCGAAAGTGGTAGACTAACGCCACATGGCCTATGCTACTCCCCGGTCCGAGCTACCCCTATACCCCAAATTTCAGACTCGGGTCAGACCTAGTGTAGCCGCCAACCCCGAACAGACCGGCTTCGCTCGGGGGTCATAACTCCGAAACCGGAAGTGGTAGACTAACGCCACCTGGCCTATGTTACTCCCCGGTCCGAGCTACCCCTATACCTCAAATTTCAAGGTTGGGGGCAGATGTAGCCGCCAACCCCGAACAGACAGACTTCACTCGGGGGTCATAACTCCGAAACCGGAAGTGGTAGACTAACGCCACCTGGCCTATGTTACTCCCCGGTCCGAGCTACCCCTATACCCCAAATTTCAGACTCGGGGCAGACCTAGTGTAGCCGCCAACCCCGAACAGACCGGCTTCGCTCGGGGGTCATAACTCCGAAACCGGAAGTGGTAGACTAACGCCACATGGCCTATGTTACTCCCCGGTCCGAGCTACCCCTAGTCCCCAAATTTCAGATTCGGGGCAGACCTAGTGTAGCCTCCAACCTCGAACAAACAGACAGACAGACAGACAAACGACAGTCACAAATATATATAGAGATAGATAATATAGAAGATGGCTAACTGGGTAAGACGCTGGCTCGGTAGCCTAGAGGTCGGGTGTTCGATCCTGATTCGTCCAAGAAAGTTCATCCAGTTTTTCCGGCGTGGTTCCCCCTTGTCAGTGATACAGGACGGGGGGGGGGGGCTGACAAGGGCAGCTGTCTAGTCGTTCGGATGGGACGAAAACTTAGGTCCCGTGTACACATTGTCTTGCACATAAAAGATCCCTTGACATTTGGAATTCGATATAAGAGTAGGCTTTAGTGCCGCTGTCCGGGCAAAATTTCCCTCATAGCACACTGTATGGCGTATGTCCGGCTTCATTAGCCCAGTTCGGAGCAGAATAGTAGGATGTTAAACCCCATTTCCTTTCATTTTTTTTATTTATAACATTAATAAAACCTGTGACCTAATAACCTATGGGGGTTTCTTTCGATGTCTTTTTAGTGCGTGATTCACGTGCTGTACTTGATAACAAATGGTAAATGTCACCTACACGTTTTATTCAGACACCAATGCAGCTTGGAACATCGGTCTCCATTATCAGATGAAGACTAACGGGTTTAAGTTGTTTGAAAACGTATCACGTATATTGAGTTAGTTGCTCGGCCCTAAGTTGGAGGTTTTTAAGTGCTTTTCACAGAAATTTAAGCAGTTTTATTCTCCAAAATATAATCGAGATTGGCCCTTTAAAGACAATTCGAATTTTAAAAAAAAATATTTATTTTCTTTTGTCTTAAGCCTTTTCTAATCGATCAATCCTAATAGTAAGGGCGTCGGGCTCATGTACATCGATTGGCACAAGTAAATTGTTTATTTACTATGAAAATTCATCCACAGCTCACAATTAAGCGAGAGAGTGAGAGAGAGAGAGAGAGAGCGAGTGAGAAGGAGGGAGAGAGAGAGAGAGAGAGAGAGAGAGAGAGAAATGGGGTTTATCGTCCAGTCGTCAGAAACTTGGTTATTTCAGGACTAACATACGGTTCAATTTTATCTCAATAACTCGCTTACGCGTAGGGGTCTTTAGCAGTGGGACGAAACCGAAGGACCCAGAGAAAACCCATGAGGTTGGACAAGGACCCTACTCCTTGTCACGTACAACCGAGGATTCGAAACCACGCCAGTTGACTCAATGACAGGTTTTATGATACAGCGCGCACGTGCTAACCATTCGGCCATCCACCCCTCCTTGTCTCTCGCGAGAAACAAGGGTGCCACGCTTTGACCTCTAGCTGGCCGGTCACCTCTGACTTGCGGCTGTGGTTTCGATAACTGGTGTGAGCGTATGCGGCTGGAGATAGGGGCGCCTTCTCAACCTCGTGGGTTTACTCCGGGTACTCCGGTTTCCTCCCATAGGAAAGACCCCTGCGCGTGCGGTAAGATAATAAAAGTGAAAAATAAGACTTGTCTGCGATATCACCTTCAGTGGAAGCGGACGTTAAACACTAAGAACAACAGAAAAGAGAGGAAATATATTCTTGTGCAAAACTTGTTCAATTCGGTCAATCTACGATACCATTTAAGGTTTATTTCGGTTTCCAGTTATATCTGCCAGCCACTGTGACCTAGTGAGAAGACACTGATTCGCTAACCTTGGAATTTTCCGATGTGGTTTACCTTTGACAGTGGTGCAAGAACAATGTCTGGTTGTCCGGTAGTGGACGAAAAACCGAAGTCCCCCTGTATACGTTGCACGTAAAAGATCCCTTGACAGTTGGAATTCGAATCTAAAGTAGGCCGTAGCGCCGCTGTCCTTGCATGGCGTATGTCCGTCTTTACTAGCCCAGTCGGTGCAGAAAAGATGGACGTTAAACCCCATTTCATTTCCAAATTAAATACAAATGAAAGGTCGATAGTGTAGGAATTGCCATTGGGTTGAGATATCCATGTCACTACTTATTGAGCTCTTTCGTCTAACATCTTACGGGGGAAAGAGAAAATGGGGATTAACGTCCACTTGACGCATAGTGGGTCAATTCGGGACTAACATATGGTTCAATTTTATTTCAAAAGTGCGCTTGCGCGGAGGGATCTTTAGCAGTGGGAGGAAGACGGAGGACCCGGAGAAAACCCACGAGGTTGGACAGGCGACCCTCCTCGTTATCACTTACAATCCGCGAATCGAAACCACGCCAGTTGACTCAATGACAGACCCTATGATACACCGCGCATGCGCTAACCAATCGGCCATCCGCCACTCACCCCCAACCTCTCACGAAAATCCAGAAATATAACAGACTAAATTTTATGTTAATTTTTAATTTTAATGTTTGTAACAGGTTAGTCTAAAAGAAGGATTCTGTAGACTTCAGTGGGAGGCTATGGAATGGAATCATAAAGCAATGAAATTTTATGCTAAAATTGGAGGTGAAGACACTTCATTAACCGATGGGGGAAGAAGAACATTTATAAAAAATATAAGTAAACTAGAAATGGAAAAATGTGGCTAGCGTCAATACCAAATGATTACCCAAGTCAAGATTAATTTTTATATAAGTAATCGAAGAAAAATGGAATAAGAAATCTCGCTAAGCAAGAATTACCCCATGTGACCATCAACGACGTTATTAATTATGTAGAATCTTTGAATAAATTACCGGGTCTTATTAGAAATGAAATGAAATGAAATGGGGTTTAACGTCCTACTGTTCTGCTCCTAAACTGGGCTAACGAAGACGGGCATACGCCATACAGTGTGCTATGAGGGAAAGTTTGCCAGGGCAGCGGCACTACGGCCTACTCTTATATCGAATTCCAACTGCCAAGGGATCTTTTACGTACACAGGTCTTCGGTGTTTCGTCCCATCCGAACGGCTAGACAGCTGTCCTTCTCATACCCTTCGTCCTGCATCACTGACAAGGGGAAACCACGCCGGAAAATCCCGATGAACTTTCCCGGCCAATGCAGGGATCGAACACGCGACCTCCAGGCTAGCGAGCCAGCGTCTTACCCACTTAGCCACGTGATGCCCGAGAGAGAGAGAGATAGAGGGAGAGAGAGAGAGAGAGAGAGGGAGATATACCATTGACTTATCCTCTAATTTATCTTCTGCTAAATAAGTTCATCTTCTAAAATCCAAGTCTAAAGTATCGTTCCAGTTAGCACTATATCCAGAACACGCTGTTTGTTATACGTTGCCAGTGCGGAGACGATCAAAATAATGATGAAATCTTCTCCTAGAGAAGTATCTTAAGGACTCCTAAAATCAAGAGAGACAGAGAGAAATGGGGTTTAACGTCCACTCGACACAAACTAGGTCATTTCGGGATTAACATATGGTTCAATTTTATTTCTACAATTCGCTTGCGCGTAGGGGTCTTTAGCAGTGGGAGGAAAAAGGAGGACCCGGAGAAAACCCACGAGGTTGGACAGGCGACCCTACTCCTTGTCACGTACAACCAGGGATTCGAAACCACGCCAGTTGACTCAATGACAAACCTTATGATACAGCACGAACGTGCTAACCATTCGGCCATCCAAACCCCCTCCCCAAATCAAAGAGTCCCAATAATAAAAGAAAACTTATCATGTCTGATGTTGGATGAAATTTTAATTTATTTAATGTTAAAGGTGCATTATATAAGAATAAAGAGCTGACGATTTTCGCTATAATAGTTAAAAAATAGATAATCTCTAATAGATAGTCAGATTATTTCAATTCGGGCCTAGTTATCGTCTCTGGAAGAACAGTGTAGTCTCGATTGTCATGGGCTTGCGCGTAGGGATCTTTTAGTAGTGAGGGGAAACCGGGAAGTTGGAGGCGGGGCTCCCTGAGAAATGGGGTTTATCGTCCAGTCGTCAGAAACTTGTTTTTTTCAGGACTAACATACGGTTCAATTTTATCTCAATAATTCGCTTAGCAGTGGGAGTAAATCGAAGGACCCGAAGAAACCCCACGAGGTTTGACAGACAACACACCCTACTCCGTGTCAGGTACAAGCGGGGAAATTAAACCACGCCACTTGATTCAGTAACATACCTTGGTAAATAAATGTTTAATTAATGATTTTTATAACCTGTAAGTGAAGCCAAAATAAAAATCGGCCTTAGCCAGATTTAGCTCTTACAAAATACATCTTTTATAAATACATTAATGTTTATGATTTTGGTATGTTGTTCTTATCTCCGTGTGTGATACAATCATCCCAATCAGGCCAGAATGTCGTCTTCATTCGATCACAATAATCACGAAGATTGGTGTACTTTTCTGAAAGAATAAACATTACAAGAGGGTGATATTATACCAATCTGATTAAAACACAAATCCCATTTCGTTTCGTTTTTCATAGTTCAAAATTTCGTTTTACACAGTACCCATGTCTGGTTGATGCGAGGGATTAGCTAATAAAACGGTCTGTACGGCAAGTTCTTGGCACGTAACTGTGGGTATCCCACTAGAAACAACAAAACTGATTTGTTAATCAAATTATGTCTGACGTCATAGAGTCAAAAGCTGTTCGTATGAACCCTGAAGCAACCCTAAACTACAACTGGTCAGATCTTCGTGCAGAGAAGGGCATCGAAAGTATAAAAACGAAACGAAATATATAGAGGATATTTGTCGTTTTGTCGTGAATAACATATTTTATTTCATCTCTAAGCAAGAAAACGTTTATATTTTCATGAATGCTACGCTACGCATTCGTGAAAATATAAACGTTTTCTTGCTTAGAGATGAAATAAAATATGTTATTCACGACAAAACGACAAATGTTCTATTTATTTTATGATTTTACAATCATTTTAGGTAAACTCTGCTAGCCAGTGGAATAACACTTTTATTTCACTGATAAAACGCGGTATTCCACTACTGTTTATAAAATAAAGATTTGTATTCTACTCAGATTTGGTATTATATATGATGAAGTTTATCAGCTACACAGTGTTGCCTCCATCTTCTATAGGAGGCTTGATCTCGCTTTAACTACGTACATCTTATCAAGTTCTTTACGTAATACTCTGCATATGTCGGTACTAATTTCGATTGGATACAAGCCCAGCTTGTTTTTAAAACTTTAAAGGTATTCGGTTTTAAATCAAACTTTGTCAGATGGATAAGTACTCTTTACAAAAATATTACATGTGCAGTTTTAAACAAAGGATTTACTACTAACTATTTTGATGTTAAGCGGAGTGTTAGACAAGGGGATCCACTAAGTTCAAGTATCTTTAATCTTTGCATTGAAATACTATTAAATCAGATAAGACATAACATAAATATATTTGGAATACAATTTGGAAAACAAAATATTAAGGTTACAGCCTTTGCTGATGATGTGACAGTATTTTTAAGAGATTATAAATCTGCAAGACATCTACTTGAGGTCTTAAAGCTATTTTATAAAATTTCAGGTTTAGAAATCAACTTATCAAAAACTGAAATTTATAATCTAAATTATAAAAACTTTAATAATGATGAAGAAATCAAATCTCTCGGAATTAAAATATGTACAAATTACATCAAAATATTAGGAATATACTTTTTCTGTGATGAAAATATATCATTTAAATTAAACTTCAACGATAAATATCAAGAAATCGAACAAACCTTAAGTAAATGGAACAATCGATGTTTATCATTAATGGGAAAAATACAGATTGTAAAAACATTTGCCGTTCCAAAAATTGTATATCCTTCATTATCACTACCAATTCCTGTTAACTTAATTAAAGAATTTAACAGAATAATATACAAATTTATCTGGGATGGAAATGATAAAATTAAACGAAATGTATTAATTCAAAACTATAAAAAAGGCGGAGTTAAAATGATTGATATTGAATCAATGTTAAAGGCACAATGTATATTTTGGATAAAGAAAATTGTAGATGATAAAGCAGAACAACCTTGGAAAGTACTATACAACCTTATGCTAAAAGAGTACGGTGGGCATTTATTGCCAATGTGTAACTATAAATCGACACTAATACAACTACCAACATTCTCTAAAAATCTCTATCAAAATTGGGAAGATGTATTTACAAGCTACATTGATACTATTGATAATCTTGAAGGTCAACGTATTTGGAATAATAAAAATATAACAATAAACAACAAGCTAATATATAATTCAAATCTATTAAATGATAATATTGTATATGTAAAAGATTTAAATACTGATAACTATAACAGTGAACAAAATAAATTAACTTTTCAAGGTATCAAGTCGAAAGTAGGAAAGCTATTAAACCTTTCCACTTGTATCTATAATCCTAACCCGACATCAATCTGTTACTATCTTAATAAAATATTAAACATAATATATAATAACTCAATCTGTAAAATTAAATCTAAAGATGTGTACAATAAATTAATCCTAGAAAAACTTACTAAACCAACATCGATTTCAAAATGGCAGACGTCTTTAAATGATGTCATCACTATCGATGATTTTTATAAATATACTATTCCAAAAAAGTAGGGGATATTTGATTTTTAAGTGTTATTAAAGTCACCTAATGAAACTGACGAAGAAACAAATGACAAAATGAAATGAAGTTCACATTCATCGATTTATTCCAAATGATCGTTAGACTAAGTAAGGCACAGACTGACCATTATAAGGGTAAAATGATACCCGGGGTCAAACAGCAAAGTTACCACAGCATCACAACCAAGTCAGTAACGGGTAAATCCTCCTCTGTTTGCCAAACAAGCATTGATCCGACGTGGCATACTCCTAATGAGACGTCTAAGGTCATTTGGGTCCAGATTGTCCCATTCCTGTTGCAACGCAGCAGCAAGTTCTTGGACATTGGCAGGACGTTGTTGACGTTGACGTAACCTCTGTCCAAGCATGTCCCAGACATGCTCGATGGGGGAGAGGTCGGGACTCAGTGCTGGCCAAGGTAATGTGGTGATGTTCTGTTGTTGGAGGTAACCTGTAACGATCCTGGCCCTGTGACATCTTGCGTTGTCATCCTGGAAGATGAAACGGCGGCCATGACGTCGTGCGAACGGCACAACATGGACTGCCAAGATGTTGTCCCGGTAGTACTGGCCTGTAACACGCCCTGCAACAACATGTAAAGCCGTTCTTCCAGCAACAGTGATGCCTCCCCACACCATAACAGAACCACCCCCAAATCGATCATGTCTGATGACGTTAACGTCTTGGAAGCGCTCGTTTCGACGACGCCACACCCTCCTACGTCTGTCCAAAAAATCAACAGTGAACCTTGACTCATCTGAAAACATCACATTGCACCAGCTTCGATTATCCCAGTGTTGACGATCCCTACACCAACGACGTCTTGCCTGAATGTGATGATCTCTCAAACAAGGGATCACGCGAGGACGTCGGGCGCGAAGGTGACCCCTATGCAGTCGATTCCGAATCGTCTGGCCACTCACTCTCACACCAGTGTCTGTTTGAAGACGAGCGCTGATCTGATTTGCTGTGATGACACGATTTCTCAAGGCCAAGGTACGGATAAATCGATCCTGGGCTTGAGTTGTCGCCCTTGGTCGACCTGAGCGTGGTCTGTCCTGTACAGATTGTGTATCACGGTATCTGGACCATAGCCTGCTTATGACAGACTGAGAAACATTCATCGTCCGCGCCACAACCGCCTGTGTTGTGCCGATCTGTAGCATGCCAAGGGCACGTAACCTTTCATTTTGGGTAAGCCGACGCATATCAAAATTTGTTTTCTGGTCACTAAAACAATTAAACTGATGTTTCCACCCTGGAATTCAATGCCACAATGACTGTAACATTCAAAGTCAGAGTCGTGCAAATCTTGGGTTGGACCCCCATGATGATCCCAAGCATCACCTGCATTCCATGCGGTAGCTATTGGTGCGTTTGGGCGTCACATGTAACTGGAAATGTTTCTTCTGTTAGGTTCTATAGTGACTTTTTTCGTATTCATTTGCATATTTTAGTATTATGCTCCCAAAATCAAATATCCCCTACTTTTTTTGAATAGTATATTTTAAATTAATTTATGAAATTTTACCGGAATATAATTTACAGAATATAATATATACAAACGATACTTTACTCAAATGGAAATTAAAGTCTTCTAACTTGTGTGATTTCTGCAGTGCCGCCATTGAAAACATAGAACATCTTTTCTACTACTGTTATTACTCTAGTAAAATTTGGTCTGAATTTCATAAACTAATTAATAAATTAGATATAGAAATCGTTTTGAAAAAGCACAATATTCACTTTGGATTTATTGACCAAAGCACATTTCTTAATAGGTCAGAGTGGACCATAACAAACCATCTATTATTCTTAACTAAATATTATATCTGTAGCGAAAAAAGTAAAAATAATACTCCGCAAAAGAATAAATATCTATCTTTTATAAAACACATAGTTAATATAGAAATTAACATTCATAAAGAGATTAGAAGTAATTGGACAAGTATATTGGAAATGAATTTATAATATATAGAGCCTACTGTACATGATTTTTTTTTTTTTTTTTTTTTTTTTTAATGCATATGATGATTTTATAAATATTTCTATTTATAATATACTTATATGTTGTGTTGTGTAGACTACCAATATGTAATGTTGTATGTTTTTATGTTGTATCTTTTGTTTTTGTTATGTGTTGTATCTTTTGTTTTTGTATTGTATTGTATTGTATTGTATTGTATTGTATTGTAATGTATCTTAATTTTAATAAATATTCAAAAAAAAAAAAAAAAAAAAAAAAAGCCCAGAATGTGAGCCTGTCAAATTCCTCGCTCGTCGCAAATACCAAGTATCGCGCTTTCAAGCTAAAATGTCTACCTATGATACTCGAGTTGCAAAGTTCAAGGTTCATTCAATGTCAAGGTTTCCGTGGAGGATAGCGATGTTACAACCTCAGATTGGACGCTATTGCTCACGTGTCTGTAGATAAATAGCTATATGTTCGGGAATTGTGAAGTAAACAAGCAACGGCCAGATGTTGTGAAACTCGCAGTCGTTGCTTCAGGAACATGTCCCAAAGTCAAACAATACATAGAAAAGTTATAATGTCTCACCATTTACAAAATATTCAGCCTTGGTACCGGGCAATTGCCATCTCAGCTGACTTAACTGTCCAAATAAAGCACAGTCCGTCTCACATGGTTTATCACCAAAGAAAAATGGCTTGGTATCTGAAAAGATTATTATTTATACAAGAGCTGAAATTAAAATCTTTTAATATTATACGGGTGGGAAGTCAGGCCACACCCATTTCACTTTTTGTTCTTCGGGAACATGGGGCTTGGATGCCCGAATGGTTAGCGCGTGGGCGTTGTGTCATAAGATCTGTCATTGAGTCCACTGGCGTGGTTTCGATTCCCCGGATGTACGTTACAAGGAGTAGGGTCGCCTGTCCAACCTCGTGGGTTTTCTCCGAGTCCTCCGGTTTCCTCCCATTGCTAAATACCCCTACACGCAAGCGGATTAAAACCTTTCTTCTTATTTCTTCACTAAAATGACTTATTCAAAAAAAAGTACTCGGGTGTGGTGTTCAAAAGCTTTTAGTACCAAATGTTTAAACATGCATTATGCAAGAGCTAAAACTGTCTATTGCATGTCTTTCTTTAGGCCTGAAATATTATATAAACTATTAATTAGACATTTATTAACATGAAAAGACATTAATCAACTCTCGATGCCATCTTATGTGTCAGATTTTCACTGGATTTGAATCCATCAACGCTCATTGATCAAGACTAGGTGTGAAATAAATTCAATCGCTAATATCACGGTGGCTCAGTGAGTAAGACGTTGGTGTAGTCTTTCGGATGGCGGTACGATTTACCCAATACTACCCAATACTAACTAAATACCACCACATAACACTTCAATATTGTGAAAGACTAACGGAATACTGCAATTATATGAGATAAAATGGACTTTATTCGTGGAATGCGTTAATAAGTGTTCGTGGAAAACTTGCAAAAATGTATGCTTAAAGTGATAGCCAATGTCTGGATGCTTCAGTTAGCTCCCTTGATCACCCAGTACAAATATTAAATATACAGGAATGGTGACTCAAAATGTCCAATTAGATCGCCTTATGTTTAATTTCAATAATTCGCTTGCACGTATGGGTCGTAGCAGTGGGAAGAAATCGCACGGGGTTGGACAGGCGACCTCACTCCTTGTTACGTACAAGCGGCGAAACGAAACCACACCACTTGACTCATACAACACGCACCAGTTAACCATTCGGCAACCCAACTCCCCTTATTTTTCGCCGTAATTGCTGTCCGAATGTAATGCCCGTGTAGTTGATTATACCCGGCTAGATTTATTTGTTAAGGCCAACTCAAGATTTCGTCAAGTTCGCTGAGATGTAAATAAAGTTAGGGTTCGTGATTGTTGGCGAGATTATAGGTTATGGTTAGGGTAAGCGTTCGGGCTAGGTCCAGGGTTAGGGTTGGGATTAGCTCTAGTCCTGTTTATAACTCGTGACCTTTGACCAAACTGGAAGTTGGCCTTATGAAATAGATCTAACCTAGGCCTATACCCTGGGAATCATTGCCAGTCGGGAATCTGACTAACCTAAGAAATCCGACATGGCCTTTATGTCGCCTTCTTCTATCCGGATCATCTCTTCGTAACTATGGCGACCAATACCCTGTCCTTCCGCTTCCGACTTTATCTTTCTACCGACAATCCACACAAATAATTTTGGTACTCCTACGACATCTTTCATCCAATCTTTATTGTCGTAAACCCATCTATGTAGTGCCACACACCTTACAAATAACAAGGTTCGATTGTCCAGTTCAACGTTAGTTGATTATATGGCACGGATAGCCTATTCTATTTAATATCGCAGCCATCCGATGGTCTAGATCAGGGGTGTCAAACTCATTTCGATTTAGGGGCCACATGAACTAAAATTTTACATCAAGTGGACAGGAGATATACAAAAATATGAAGATAAAGTCAAACGTCCTTGAACTTTACTGAATTCTAAAAACAAAGCCAAACGTCCTTGACACAGATAATTTTTTAGACTGGCTTCCAAATTCCCAAGGTATAATATTAAAGTAGCTAAGTCTCTAACTCAATATCATCCAAATTCTTCGTCATTGAAAACACGAATTATTTGTCAATTTAAATCAACATTGATGTTGTGATCTTACCGGGTTAAGATGGGGTTCTGATATCCAATATTTAAGACAAAATAAACATTTACCATAGGTACACGAATCGTGTACCATAACGCGTTTCAGTGCCATTTGTAACCAGGGACTCAAATAACGAGGCTAGACATATTCAACAAGTCATGTCAAACGGTGACAGACTCTTATCTGGAAAGCATGCGCAATAAATACTATTGGTGTAGACTGGAATAACCAGACACTAGAGACGGCCATTCGATTGAGACTTCTGACATATTTCGTCTAACATAACTGATTTTTGAATTAGAGAGTAAAAACGGAAACGATTGAATGTAAATCAGTTTATATACATTCATATGTGTCTATTTCTAGGTCCCAAATATTAGCGGTTTAGCTCCTTTAAACACAACGTCCTCGTGTATATCCATAACATACAGTACATAAGTCAGAGTTTTACTGAAACCGGAAAACAATAATAAATGATTTCCACCGCTGGAAATTAGGCTGCTCACGGGCAAAATATCCCTGTTAACACAATGCATGATGCGTGTCCGCATGTGTACAAGATGTTAATAAATAAGTGTTACTTTACCAGTACAGATTTTCTTCCGCCATTTTCTGGAAGGCTCTGGCTATGCCTCGTTCTGAACTGGTAAGATGGCTGTTTAGATCTATTTTGTATTTATCGTTAAGGAATTCTATAATCAAACTCGAATCATTCACTTCTTCACCTTCGAACTCGATAAATGGAATTTTACCCTTTTTAGACCGCTTCCTTTCGTGAGAATTCTGTAAGAAAGAACACACATTGGTTGTGTTGTACCATAAATAGAGGATTGCCCTTGTTTCTCGAAACTTTAACTAAAGATAAAATCGAAATTTTGGTAGATACTTCAATTTTGATTGGCTCGCTAGCCTGGAGGTCGGGTGTTTGATCCCTTCATTGGCCGAGAAAGTTCATCGAGGTTTTCCGACGTGGTTTCCCCTTGTCAGTGGTGCAGAAGGAGGGCCTGACAGGGACAGCAGTCTAGTCCTTCGGATGAGACGAAAATCCGAGGTCCCGTGTATACATTGGAATGCACGTAAAGATCCCTTGGCAGTTGGAATTCGATATAAGAGTGGGCGATAGTACCGCTGCCCGAGCAAAATTTCCCTCATAGCACACTATATCGCGTATGCCCGTCTTCATTAGCCCAGTATAGGAGCAGAATAGTAGGGCGTTAAACCCCATTTCATTTCATTTCATTTCGATATTGTTGTAAAATGAACAAACGATGAGCTATTTTTCTGTTGAAAGGTATATCTCGAATCCATTTAGACAAGAGTAGGGGCTATGACAACATGACATCACTCACCTTATATTCAAGTTTAGCCATCCTTAAGTAGGTCTCCAGTTTTAAAGGGAACGGCGAAAGACTAGGTGCAAATGGTCCACGACCAGCTTGTTGTAAGAGTATTGGTGGTTTTCTGAAATTAAGAGTAGAGGTATCAAAAACAAACATACTCCATATGTTGAAATGAAATGAAATGGGGTTTAACGTCCTACTGTTCTGCTCCTAACCTGGGCTAATGAAGACGGGCATACGCCATAAAGTGTGATATGAGGGAAATTTTGCCCGGACAGCGGCACTACGGCCTACTCTTATATCGAATTCCAACAGTCAAGGGATCTTTTACGTGCACGCCAATGTGTACACGGGACCTCAGTTTTTCGTCCCATCCGAACGACTAGACAGCTGTCCTTGTCAGGTCACCCGTCCTGCATCACTGACAAGGACTCCATATTGTGTATGACATGGCAAATCTAAACAGTGCCATATTTAAATGAAGCCATGCCGTGTGCTATTTTGCCAGTACGCTGGCGCTACTACGGTCTACTCATTTCGGGACATACATATGGTAAAATTTTATTTCAATAATTCACTTGCACGTACAGGCCTTTAGCTGTGGGACAATCTGGTTAAAACACAGATCCTATTTCGTTTCGTTTTTATTGTTCAAAATTTCGTTTTACTTGTCTTTACTACACTAGGATCTGGAAGAGTTTTTATCATTGTCGTGTTCTGAATGGTGTGAGGAATTGGCCAATGACACGGTCTGTTACGGCGAGCTTTAGGTGTGTTTTGCTCGGGACTGTGGGTTATCCACTAGTAACATCAATGCTGATTGGTTGATCAAATGTCTGACGTCATAGGGTCAAAAGCCGCTCGTGTGACCTCTGACGCGAACTATCACTACAACAGGTCAGATCTTCATGTGGTGTGGGCCATCGAAAGTATAAAAAAACGAAACGAAATATAGATCTGTATTTTAATCACATTGGCCGTGGGAGAAATCCCGCGAGGTTGTACAGGCGACTCTGCTCCTTGTCATACTTCCAAGAGCGACGAGAACTATTATGTAAACTCTAATTTCTACAACTCATAATATTTTTCTTTATATTTAGAAATGAGTCAGTAAAAGGAGTCGATAAAAACAATGACACTGCAGATTTGGCCAAAGGGCACGAGGTGTAAACAGGGCTTGCGCTAACCCCAACCCTAACCCTGGACCCAGCTCTAACCATTACCCAAAACCTAACACACAATCCAGTCAACAATCACGTGCCCTAACCTTATTGACGAAATCTGGAGATGGCCTTATGGAATAGATTCTGCTTGACACTGCAATCTTTAATAGGAGTCGCCATTGTGAATGTCACATGATACTGGTGCTATTCAATATGATTGGTTCCAGTGCCGCGTCGTTAAGGTAAACAACATTCCGTTTACAAAGATGAATCTACTTCATACTTCAAGAACAAATCTCCAACCTGAATGGCCGCAATATCCAAAAATTGGTATATTGTTTTGAAATGCAATACACACATCTGTCATACACACAAAGACTAAATAAACCTATTCCATTTCATTAAACAAATACTTCTAAAAATTCTCGAAGTATACTTAATGTTTTCGACTAAAAATCGTCAATTTAGGACATAACATGTCAGTCAAGTAGCTTAGTGTCTGTTTTCAAGGGGAGCTAACTGCAGATAGGCAGCCTAAGTTTAGTATAGGTAAACAATAAACAGGTATGTTTGTTTAGCGTTTATTATTGAGCTAAACGGTTGTTTCCATTTGTTATTCTTTTATCACCGCACAGCTACACGACTTTACTTGCCGTGTATTATTGATTTGAATCAAGCATAATTTAAATCTCCGATTCGAAACGTCATCGGCTGTAGAACGATGGTTTGTAAAATATATAGTAAAGTACATATATTCACTTCGCCGGTGTACCCTGGGTTAATGATGCATAATGCGTCGTTATACGTTTAACTTACCCGTTATTAGCCGCCATTAGTAATCCTTCAGTGTTTTAACAGTCATGTGGTGTTCTACCAACTTCTATAGTTTAATCACTTCATATCGTATGATATTACATTAATGTATACCAGAACTCAGCATCTATACCGTCGGTTGTATAAGACTGGTTGGTTGTAACAGCATTAACGATGACACATATATTGACCCACTCAATCTGAACACATTAAAGCCATGTATACACGGCTTGATAGAGTCGTACGCGACTTTGGGTTCAAAAAATGAAATGGGGTTTAACTCCTACTGTTCTGCATCGACTGGGATAATATTGGTTTATATATAACATGTTTTACAGTGTATGTATTATGCTGTATATAACACACATTGCAGTGTAAATAACGTGATGTATATATAACATGTATTACGGTGTATAAAGCATGCTGAATCAAACCCGCATTACAGATTACGGTGTATATAAAATGAAATAAGATTGTTACATTAATTATCAAATAGCACGTTTTACAGTGTGTGTAATTATTACATAACATGTTTCAATCTATATAATTAGTTACATGACATATCTTATAGTGCAGATAATTATTAAATACCGTACGGTATGTAAATGTAACCTTTAACATAATGAGCATGTCCTAGCTATATTTTAATTAGCTCCATTTTCTCTTGGTTATGTATTTAATACTTATGATAATGACTAATCTAGGCCACAAACTCTTATGTCGAATTTGAAATACACAGGCATCTGTTACATGCACACCAATGCACCAATGTGCACACGGGTACTCAGTTTTCGTCCTATCCGAACGAATATACGTTGTCCCTTGCCAGACTCAAAGTGTATGTTAAGATTTCGTAAGGTGTATGATACTACATCGTAACTTGTATGCTACTATATCGCAAATTGTATGCTACTATATCGCAAATTGTATGCTACAATATCGTAAAGTATATGTTACGATATCGTAAAGTGTATGTGGCAATATCGTAAAGTGTATGTGGCGATATCGTAAAGTGTATGTTACGATATCATAAAGTGCATGCGTGTCATAACACAGCGTATGGCGCATGCCCGTCGTCATTAACCCAGTAAGTGCTGAAAAGTGGGACGCTAAACCTCATTTTATTTTATTTCTATCTCGATGTTTTTACCAAAAAAGTACGTAGCATGATTTCCCATCGCCAATCGGGCGGTACAAAAACCGAGGTCAACCCGATTAGGCAAACATACTATTGACAGGCAACATTACCTCTTAAACCTATTGTATGGCGCGTGCCCGAATGCGTCAATAAGTGTCATTTTACCAGTACAGATTTTCTTCCGCCATTTTCTGGAAGGCTCTGGCTATGCCTCGTTCTGAACTGGTAAGATGGCTCTTCAGATCTATTTTGTATTTATCGTTAAGGAATTCTATTATCAAACTTGAATCATTCACTTCTTCACCTTCGAACTCAATAAATGGAATTTTACCCTTTTTAGACCGCTTCCTTTCGTGAGAATTCTGGAAGAAAGAAAACACATTGGTTGTGTTGTACCATAAATAGAGGATTGCCCTTGTTACTAAAAATAGATGCATTCATACGCTTGAAGAATATAGTTCCAAAATGTCTGAATCCAAAACATAATATATAGAATACATCAAAACGAGAATGAAACAGTACAATCAAATTGTAGGTTAGGATTAGGGTAAGGGTTAGGGCTAGGTCCAGCGTTAGGGTTAGAGTTGGGATATGCGCTAACCCTGTTTACATTCCGTGACCTTTGACCAAACATAAATTTGGTCTATATGAAATTGATCTGACCTTAATGACAAATGTTCTCCAATATGACGTCACTCACCTTATATTCCATTTTAGCCATTCTGAAGAAGGTTTCCAGTTTAATAGCGAAAGGTGTAATACTCGGTGTAAACGGCCCCCGACCCATTTGTTGTAACACTATTGACGGTTGTCTGAAATCAAGAGTAGCGGTGAACGAGATTAAAATTTAGCATACTCTACATCTTGTACGACATCTAAATGCATATTATCACATGCTAATCACATGGATGTTCGTGCCATCTGGGCCCTGTTTCTCGAAATCTTAACTAAAGATAAAATCCAAATTTAAGTAGATACTTCAATTGTGATTGACTAAACACTAAAATCTCTCCAATGTTATCCAATCAAATTACTAAAATTTGGATTTTATCTTAGTTAAAATTTCGTGAAACAGGCCCCTGAACGACTAGACAGCTGCCCTTGTCAAGCCCTCCGTTCTACACCATTGGCAAGGGAAAACCACGTCGACCAGCAGGGAACTTTCTCAGCAGGGATATAACACGTGACCTCCAGGCTAGCGAGACAACGTCGACCCACGTATAGCCACCCAACTTAAAGATACATTATGGGAGATAAGATAAAGTTCTCGCTATAATAGTTAACCAGCGGCTGCCAGGCAGGATACGCCCACATTTTCGAGAGATGGATAGAAAACAAGCTAAAACGAAAGTGATTTTTCCTACAATCAAGGGGCATAATTCAGGAAATTACAATTCGATATGCGCAAATATCGAAAGGAACCAAGATCTTTGAGTTATAAACTTACATTTCAAGTTTCAACAAAATCGGATAAAAATTGTGACCTCTATAGGGTCCACAACCTTGATATACCATATTTTTACGCAATTTGAGAAAGAGGGGCGGCCATTTTGTCTGTCAGTTTTGGGCCGATTTTCACGAAATTCGAACTCCACTTTCCTTAGGGTTTAACGGTGATATAATAATATGTTTTTTTAAATCGGATAAAAATTATGACCTCTATAGGATCCACAAGCCAAAAAACGCGTTTTTGCGTACAATCAGGGGCCATAATTCAGGAAGTTACGGTCTGATATGCGCGAATATCGAAAGGAACCGGGATCGTTGGGTTATAAACTTACATTTCAAATTTCAAGGGTTCACAACCTTGATATACCATATTTTTACGCTATTTGAGAACGAACGGCGGACATTTTGTCTGTCAGTTTTGGGCCGATTTTCACGAAATTCGAACTCAATCGTCCTTAGGTTATGAAGTTATGGTCCGATAGATGCCAATATCGAAAGGAACCGAGATCTTAGGGTGATAAACCTATATTTCAAGTTTCATTGAAATCGAATAAAAATTGTGACCTGTAGACTGTTCACAAACAATTGTGGACGGACGTCCGGACGGACGGACAGGGGCGACGACAATATACGTCCACATGAAAATGTGGGCGTATAAAAACTAGATAGTGTAAAGGTAATTTGCTGAAAATTTCAGTCAAATTGATCCACTATGAGCCGGAACGAAGTGGGTGAAATTGTCGCATAGTCTCAGTCATCATTACTAAAATCATTAATATAAAAAGCATAGTCTCGATTATCCACTGTTTTGATTTAATTATCAGTGGCCGTTAAGCGGCATATAGGAATCTAATCCAGCCAACATCGAAGGCTAGCTTTGACATCGATAGTTTTTTATGGTCTGGATAAGTTAATTAATGTCTAATTGATAATTTAGATAACATTTCAGGCCTAAAGAAAGACTTGTAATAAGCAGATTTTGCTCTTGCATAATGCATGTTTAATGCTGCAAATATTTTATATGTAATTGGGTGCAGGGCTAAGTGAGAGGGATGCAAAGACGCCCTTTGCATCATGGTTTTGAGTTTTTGCGCCCCCTTACAAATGACAATAATCAATGGTTTCAATGCGGTTTACAACATTATAATCATAATCATAATGCTTAACCCGTGTCAAACATATACCGAGGGTCAGATATGCTACAAATCATCGACTCTAGCATGTTCCACACAGCTCAATATTAGTCTCCCCCTCTCTCTCTCTCTCTCTCTCTCTACATAAACCATAAATGCACAGTAGTCGCTCTCTTCGTTATTGTACCGTACGTTAGTGATGCATTCTACTTACTTATTATTGTCGGCCATTATTAATCTTTCTGTGTTCTAATTGACTTGTGATGTTCTAACTTCTATAGTATCAACACTTCATACAGACAACAGTTATAGTGCAAATAGATTAATGTTATACCAAGGCATATTATCATACATTCATCATCCACAATGACCTATATATTGACCCTTATATATAAACAGAATTTAAGCCATGTATACACCGTCTGAAAAAAATCGCACACGATTTTCCATTTACTAGACTTTGCTTGAGTTGGCATCAAGCTCTACAGTAGCGTATCCAGAGGGGGTCGGGGTCCAAGGTGTTCGGACACGCCCCTGCTGCCACAGAGCATATTTTGTCTGTCCTACATTCAAGGAAATAAAGTGGTAAAAACTATCGTGCGAAGCATTGCTGCCCTTATGACTATTATATGCAACAAAATGAGCAGAAATTTTGTCTCAAACTTCTGATTTGATCAAATTTGCGGGTATCTTTCTCCCCCCCCCCCGCCCCGACCTAACGCACAATTTGACGTTGGTTCCACCTTGGGCCGACTGCTGCCCAAATTCCAAACACGCCCCTGAGATATGTATGTGTGTGTGTGTGTGTGGGTGGGTGTGTGGGTGTGTGTGTGTGTATGTATGTGTAGGTGGTTGGTGGGGGGATTTGCTGTTTTTCGGGCAGGGTTAGGGTTAGGGGTTGAACAAGCGACCCTACTCCTTGTCACATATAACCGGGGAATCGAAACCAGGCCAGTTGACTCGATGACAGACCTTATGATACCGCGCACACGCTAACCATTCGGCAATTTAACCCCTCGCAGTGTTTCCCATGAATAGACCTAATACCGCTTAACACTGCTGTAATGGAGGCAAATTTCTGTTAAAGATTATGACTGGTCAATAGTCCGATTAACATCCAATAACTAACTGCGTACTAATATCATTCGGATTTAAACAGAGCTCCAAATAAGACCAAATATGTTTATATAACGTTACGTCATGACTCACGAAATTTATAAATATCCTGGAAAATACGAATCAATATACAAATTAATGTCAGATGCTATTATGAATAAAACATCGTGCATACAAATTAAATGTTCTTTTTTTATAAACAATATTTTTATTTAGGTGTTCTGAATGGTATAGGGGAACAGGCTTAGCCTATTTATGAATAGTCCCAAGACGGACTAAAAGTACTTTAAAATGTTAAAATTTTATTAAACCAGTGTGTTGAAATCAGTTTGTGTCG